ACCATCATTCTATTCTCTATTTCTTTGAGTTCAGCTTTTTTTAGATTCCACATGTAAGTAAGAACATGCAATATGTCTTTCTCTGTCTGACCTATTGCACTTAGCAGAATGCCCTCAAGATCTGTAAGTATTATTGCAAATAGCAGGGTCTTATTTTTTATAGCCAAATAATATATATATACAGGGTGGAGCATAAGTAAGTTTAGAATTGTTCATAGGGAAAATAATACAATAATTAATAAATAGTAATACAAGAATAATTTTTTTCTGCATACTCACAAACTGTAAACCTACTTTTGCCCCACCTTGTATATAATGTTATCTTTACGCATTCATCCATTGATGAAAATATTTAGGTTGTTTCTATGTCTTGACTTTATAAATTATGCTGCGATTAACATGGAAGTACAGATATCTCTTTGAGGTTCTGATTTTATGTCCTTCACATATATAACCCAAAAGTGGGATTTCTGGATCAGTAGTTCTGTTTTTAACATTTTGAGGAACCTACATACTGTTTTCAATTGTGGCTATACTAATGTACACTACTCTTTTCTCCACAGCCTCACCAGCATTTGTTGTCTCTTCTATTTTTATCATGGTTGTTTTAATAGGTATGAGGTGATATCTCATGGTTCTAATTAGCATTTTCCTAGTGATTAGTGATGTGGACTACCTTTTCATGTTCTTGTTGCCCATTTGTATGTCTTCTTTGGTAAAATATCTATTCAGTGCCTCTGCCCATTTTTAAAATCAGATTGTTAGTGTTTTCACTATTGAATTGTGTGAGTTCCTTATATATTTTAGATCTTAACCCCTTATGAGATGTGTAATTTGCAAATATTTTCTCCCATTCTGTGGTTGCCTTTTCATTTTTCTGATTGTTTCTTTTGCTGTGTAGAAGCTTTTTAGTTTCACATAGTCCCATTTTTATTTTGTTGCTTATAATGTTGGTGTCATAAAAAAAATAGTTGCCAAGACAAATGTCAAGTAGCTTTTTACAGCCGAAACCGGTTTGGCTTAGTGGATAGAGCATTGGCCTGCCAACTGAAAGGTCCTGGGTTCGATTCCGGTCAAGGGCATGTACCTTGGTTGCAGACACATCTCCAGTAGGAGGTGTGCAAGAGGCAGCTGATCAATGCTTCTCTCTCATCTGTGTTTCTAACTCTCTATTCCTCTCTCTGTAAAAAATCAATAAAATATATTATATAAAAAAGAAGCTTTTTCCCTATGTACTCTATGATGGGGTCCAATTTCATTTTCTGCATGTGGTTATCCTGTTTTCTCAACACCATTTACTGTATTTTTGTTTTAAAATTTTCTTTCCCTCTTTCCCTCTCTTCCTTCCTTCCTTCCTTCCTTCCTTCCTTCCTTCCTTCCTTCCTTCCTTCCTTCCTTCCTTATTGACAGAGAGAGAGAGAGAGATGAGGGGGTGAGAGTGTGAGAGTATATCAATTTGGCTGCTTCCCTCACAGGACCCTGAACTTGCCACCTCTTGGTGTATGGATCGATGTTCCAACCAACCAAGCCACACTGGCCACAGTCCCAACATCATTTATTGAAGAAATGATAATTTCCCCACTGAGTCTTCTTGGCTCCCTTCTTAAATATTAGTTGACTGTATATGCTTGGCCTTTATCCTAGACTCTCAATTCTGTTCCATGTGGCTGTGTGTCTCTTTTTATATCAGTATCGTACTATTTTGATTATTATAACTTTATTAAAAATTTTAAAATCTGGAATTGTGATGCCTCCAGCTTTGTCCTTTCTTCTCAGGATTGCTTTGGCTATTTGGGGGACCTTTTGTGGTTCTGTATGAATTTTAGGATTATTTGTTCTAGTTTTAAAAGGATGCCTTTGGAATTTTTATAGGGATTTCATTGAATCTACAGATTAGACTCATTAGTTTTAGCTTTTTATGAAGGTAATTTCTTCCTATATTTCATTCAGTTTATTTACCTGAACTCACTGGGACAGTTAGTCCAAATCACCGAGGCTTCCATTGCCAGGAGCAGAGATATAAAATACCCTCCTAGCTGCTCTCATTGTCCTCAATTTCACTTCCAGTCCCTCCTTTCCAAAGTAACCAGGAATTTTTCCAAGGCACAACTCTGATTAAGTCATTCCCCTGCACAAACACTTCAAAGCTTATGGTGACTCTAAAATAAGGATCAAATTCCTTGGTTTGGACAATTAGCTACAAAACTATCTTTATTTATTTATTTATTGAGCATTTTGTGTGTGGTGCTCACTAGGCCAGGTTCTACCTAATCTCTTGCCTCTGACCTCTTGTCTAATTTTAAATTTACCTTATACTCCAGTCAAACTGGAACATTCACTGTCATGTGGTAGACCTTGGTTCAGAACACAAATAGATAACTTCAGGTCAATGCTCTTTCTCCTATAACATGATCCCATATTCAGGCTTGAGTCCATTCAATTTGTATATTTATGGATCTTCTAATAGATTAACCAGACAAAAGTTCAACAAGTACATTTTGGTATTTTTTATTGCTTTTCAGACTCTTTGATGTGAGGGCCCTCTGGGATGTAAGGTCTGGAAGTGAATTCATCATCATCATCATCCACTTTTTGACACTCTCCATAGTCACAAGGTCACCCAAAAATTATAACTTAAAGCTTCAGGCTTGTTTACCCTGACAAACAAGGGACCCACTGCCCCTGGAATTTAATTCCAGGTTGCTGAGAATATCCATCTAAAAAAATCTACTCCCACCTGCTGGCGGTTGCCGGAACTTCCAGTCAAAGCTCAGTCACCGGAAACAACCTTCTAGAAATAGGCAAACCTGCAAACAGGATTCTAGTTTGGGCCTCTATGCTTATGTAACCATTTTGTATATGCTTAATCCCTTTTTCTTATCTGGGCCTCCGTTTCCTCATATTACAATCCAGATATTTGGACAAAATGACCTGGAATGGTGTAGGATTATCTCTACAACAATGCCTGTGTGACCAGGGAGAATGGGGACAGAATAGCAGTAGGGGTAGGTCGATTGATCCACTCCTGTATATTACAGTAAGTGACAGATATGTCTCACTATCCTTTTTTATTTCTGCACCCATGGGAAGGAGAACATTTGCTGCAATAGCAGGGGAAAGTGAGGGAAAGGAAGATATGAGGGTGGTCTGCTTTTTTTAAATATATATTTTATTGATTTTTTTTACAGAGAGAAAGAGAGAGGGATAGAGAGTTAGAAACATCAATGAGGGAGAATCATCGATCAGCTGCCTCTTGCACATCCCCTACTGGGGATGTACCCACAACCAAGATACCCTGGGACCAGAATCGAACCTGGGACCTTTCAGTCTGCAGGCTGACGCCCTATCCACTGAACCAAACTGGTTCTGACAGAGGGTGGTCTGTTCTTGAAAAGAAGACAGAGAACTGCAAGACTTTTAAAGTTTGATTCTAAAATGGTTAAGGAAGCAGAAATAGAGTTAAACCCTTACCTCTGGGAACCTCAGCCAACCAGGCAACTAAAGCTCTGCTGGGCATAAGCAATCCCAAGTCACTTCTTCAAATGCTGACAGAAAGGGGAAGCGGGCTGTATTTCTGCGTGAATGTTCTAATTAACCAAGAGTGGACTTGAAATTTATTTTCATTGCGCACCTTCTCAATGGCATGCCTTGGGAGGCTCAACACTGCTGAGCATGACTGAGGTCTATTTCTTGATTGTCCTTCTGGCCCATGGACTGTGAGGAATCTCTTTTTAAACTTGATTTTCTTGGATTTGAGATGGGAAGAACAGAAGGGATTAGGTGGAGAATTTTCCTCATTCTTTTAAGACCCTTCTGTTTCATAGGACAATATTTGAGGTAATGGAAAAAATAAGAACCCTCTAGTCAAAGTTCTAGGCTTTTCCACATAATAGGGCCAGAATTTAGGAGCGTTGGCAAGGCCTGCTCTCCAGGGGCTAATTCCCTTGAATGTCTGAAACACTCCTCTTCAATGGTGTCAGCCTTAGACCCTTACTTCAACTCTGCATGCCCTGGCTAGAGGATAGAGTCACAACTCAGGATGATCCCAGTTGGTAAACCCTTCCAATTCCCTGAGTTTTGTCCCAGGCACCCAAACTTGGAGTCAAGGATACTCTGGGAAACCACAGCCTTCAAGAAACTCACTGTTTCCTGGAGCCCAATGTCCATACTTATGAAAAGGCACTCCCTCTATGGCCTTAGCAGTGCCATAAAACTGATTCGTGATCACTGTGCACTCCACCCAGAGGCAAAGCACATGGGGTTACTGGAGACCCAGGGGTTTGGTATGAGCAGCAGTTAGATACCTCCTGATTATCACACACACACACACACACACACACACACACACACACACACACATACACACACACCCCACACCACACACATACACACACACACACACACACACACACACACACACACACACACACAAAACCTCTTGAGCACACGCTTTTCCAAGCAAAACACACATTTTACATTTTGCAAAGAGGAAAAGCAGGACCAAGCCAATCTCCATAGCAACAGATCAGAGCCTAGCTCTCTATCAGGTGGCTCCCCTCCCCCTTCCCCGCCAGGCCCCGCCTCTGTCTCCAGGCTAGCTTGGAAACCTCTGCAGAGGCCTGAAAAGGGAGGGGGGAGACCCAGTAGAGCGCAGATTCTGGGTGGAGACAAGAGCTCCCGCCTTTCTTGTGCGGCAACTGGAAGCCCAGGATTGGTTCAGCGGGTGCTGCCGTGGGAGGAGTGGGTGGAGCCAGTCAAGCTTCCAGTCGCAGTCAGAAGCTGCTGCGGGAGCGCACCATCACAGCTGCCAGGAGCATCCAGGGTGATGTGTGCCGCAGAGCTGCGGGGGCTGCTCCCCCCGCCCTCTTTGCTTCCCATACATTAGCTATTGTCTCCTAGAGACCCTCCGGAGCACCCGCTCTGCGCTGTCCCTATCCTGTCCCTGTCCCAGTGGCAGCGGGCTCTCTCAAGCTCTCTCTGGCCCCCATAGCGCTGCGGCCATGGGCATCAGAGCGATGCTGCGAGCCGCTGTGCTCCTGCTACTCATCAGGACATGGCTCGCAGAGGGCAACAACACCACTTCCATCCCGGAATACGTCTTCGAGCTCTCTCCGACCATGCCTGCAGTCATCCATAACGTCTTCAATTGGTAAGCCTGTTTGCCACCAGGGCGGGTGGGGAAGCCACAGAGTATGGCGGAGAACCTCATGCCACTTGGACAGAGTGAGCTGGGGGGAAGGGGGCTTAGACGCAGGTCAAAGAGCCCTGGCACTCAGGCCCTACCTGCGGGTTCCCTGAGGGAAATTGGGTGGGGGTATGGAGGCGACCTGTTGAAAAAAAAGTCCTGTGCTAAAACCCACCTGTTACTATAGCGCCAGACAGAGCCCTGTATGCCCAAATTGCAGCCCCGGGGATGGGGAGAGGATGCCCTCACCCCAGGGTCTGCCAGCCATCCCCAGGGACTAAGACCGTGGGCAATTTTCCCCAATCACATCTTTTCGCATTTGTGGGATTGGTGTGAAGTGGTTGTGCAGGGTGATGGGCAATTCTCAAAGCATACGCAATAGAGACACCTGTTTGAGTGTGCGTTTTAATCTGCTCCCTGAGGCGCATGCGTGTGTGTTCTTGCGTTTGCATGTTGAGCAGTGAGGACCTTTTCTGATGCCGCAGGTAGAAATTAATGACTCATCTTCACAGGAGCCCAGATAGTGTGATCGGTGACTAGATAACCCTATAACCAGGTGGTCTGAGAGGGGTGCACTTTTGTACGTATTCCTATGAAAATATTTGAAGATTCAGGTTTTTTTCTGTGATTTCATTTGTTTGGGTCTGCAAATTTCTGAAGAGATGTTAAACAGTCAACCTTTATGTGTAGATGACATAGAAATTTGTATTTGCATTGGCCTGGGAACCTGAGTGCTGGCATATGGGTAATGTGCAGTCCTAAACAGGTGGGAATGCATTACTGTAATTCAGGAATAATTTATGTACACACTTGGAATGATGTGTAATGAAATTTTGTCATTAAATATGATTGGAAATAATTTTAATGGTAAACCAGAAATGAACATGTCATCAAAAAGGGGGGGGGGGTAGTTGAGCAAGGTTCCAGCAGACAGCTCTGCAATGGTCTAAACCTCAACCCAACACACACACACACACACACACACACACACACACACAGGCGCCCAAGATTGCGCAGGCGCGCACAAGCGCACATTGAAATGTACAAGGGCTGACATTCCCTGCTCACTGCGTCAAAGATTCTCAGAATCATAGAGATAGCCAGAGCCTGTCCTAATTCACAAGCTCCTCTTGGGGGAAAGAGACCCATTGAAAATCTAGATGAATTGGGTGAGCACATCAGAAATTTCTGGAAAGATCGGCTTTGTGGGGCTGAGCTGAGTCTATTTATATATTTTCACCCAAGACACATCTAAGCTGGAAGCACATAATTAAGCAGAGAGATGCCTGCTCCCAGAATACAAGTTATTGCTTTTTCAGGACAGCCTTGAGCCTCAAGGATTAGAAATGTTTTGGTTGGGTGAGGGTCATAAATCTCTGCTATATGAGCCAGGCTCTCTCTGTGTCATATGCCATATGCCAAGTGTTAAAAACAGGTATAAAAAAAGGTTCACATAGACGTGACAACAAAATGCCCAGCCCTAGCCCAGGTAGGGGCAATGCGACTGTGCTGGAAAATGTAAACTGGATGGATCAGCTCAGGAGGGCACTGAGGGCAGAATATGGCTTTCCTGGGGCAATTAGGTGTTCATGTAAAGATTCCCACCAACCCAGAAAGCTGTATTCAGGCTAATGGTAAGGTGAGGATCCTTAGGGGATTGAAGCAATTCATTTATCTGAGGCTCCCACCTGTCCGCTCCATCCCCTCTTCACATCCCCTATAGCCTCCCCCTTTCCATCCCTAAACCTGCCTAGTAACCAGGATACAATTCCTGCGTCTCACCCTCTAGATAAAAAGCTTTAGAGGGGGAGGAGGAAAGAGAGGGAGGAGGAAAGAGGAGTCTGCAGTCTGCGTCACTGCTGCACTTCTGGCTGACTCATCGTAGGGAGGGAGGGAGGGAAGGAGGGAGGGGAGCAGGGAGAAACGCATACATGTATGACTGTACAGGTCTGCGTGTGTGCAGAAGAGAAGGCCCTGGCAAGCTGACACCTGGCGTGCTCTTTGGTGTTTGTTCTCTGAGAAGCAATGCATCATTTACTAATGACTTCTCTGTTTTAGCAAAAATTGTGCAAATGAAACTGTGGTTGGCAAGATTTTGGACAGGGTGCTGTCAGGATATGATGCCCGTCTGAGACCATATTTTGGAGGTAAGATACATCCAGACACAAGACGTATGTTAAGTGGAACAAGCCACCCCTAGTCAATAAGCAGACCAGTGGCACTCCCCTGCCTCAATACTTCTGCCTCTCCCCTTCAGAGACCTGCAGCGAATACTACCAGGCCTCCAACCTCCAGGGGTAGAGCCAAAAGGCCTAATTTCCCCCACTTCTCTGCCTTCTGCCCTACTTCCGTACTCCTTTACAATTACACAGAGAAATCCTGAAGATCACTTCCTGGTGTGGCTGGAAAAGTGTTAACCCCAGAAATGGGTATGCTAAACAACACAAGTGTCATGCTTCTCAGGCTAGAATTTTCTGTCCCATCTATGCAGAGTAACATATTCTTCTACTTGAAAATACATTCTGGGCACCCTGGACACTCACCCTATTCAGCTAGTTCAAAATTAAGGGCATGGTCTCCTTTGTGTTGTCTACTTCACCTACCCACCGGGTCCTCTGTATACTCCCTAAACCTGTAGTTCCCACCAAGTTCATTTTATTCAACATACTCCAGGCATCGTGATCTTTATAAATCCAGCCTGATCACCTCAGGAACTTTTTATGGCTTCATTTAACTGACAAATAAAATACAAAATCAGTACTTCAGCACTCAGACCTCGAGCACAGAGATGAGAAATGGCAAATAAACTGATGCTTGCACCTCCAGGAAGCCAATACATCAGTTTATCTTTATATCTCTACAAGACCACCACCACCAACACACACACACACACACACACACACACACACACACACACGCCTGTAAAAGGCAAATGGCCTGGGTCACAGAATAGGAGTAGCATCCTCTAGCCCAAGGGATGCCCAATAAACCTAAACCAAGGAGAAACAAAAGGAACTACATTAGAGATTAGCCACATTTCTGCTCAAAGGAGCAAAAAAGAAGCAAAAACAAACAAAAGAGTGAATGACTAAGTCAGTGAAAGCACTCCACTTCCCACAGGTGGTAGTAGAGCCCCCCATTCTAAAGGGTTAACGAGTGCTAATGGTTAACATTTGTACATATGAATAGAGAAAGGTCCTCTAAATACACAATGCCTCTACCCTAAAGGGCTTACAACTGAGGGGGATTTCCTTTGTAGTAGACCTTTTCGGGGAGAGGGGTGGAAGGTTGTGATTTATCTGAAGAGGCACATTGAAAACAAAGGTGGCCTCCCTGGGCTAAGCTTGGAGGTGGGACATCTCTCTCATGTTCCCTTTGCTGCGTGCTCCTTCCATGAAGACAGAATGTGCAACCCCAGGATCCAAGGTGAGTATGCACTGGGACTGGTAAGGAGTGAAGAGGGCAGAAGGAAAGCTCTTTTCAATATAGGAATTCAGGTGTTAGGGCACAACCAGCATCCCATTTCATGACACAGGTTTTTGATCAGTTGCACCAAGCACCAGAGGGTGGGTGTCAAGAGAGTAGCTATTATGTTTTCTCTTTTCCTCATTCTCTTGTTTCTCAGTAAAGGCTGACCAACATCCATTTCAGTATATGACAATGAGATGTCATCTCTGTAGGCACCCAAGGTTAGGGATAAGGAGTAGGGCAAGGACCAACCTCTGGGGATTGTCAGATGTGGCTGGTTCACAATACATCTATATTTTGAGCTAATTTGCATTTGTTTACACCTGATGCTTAGCATCTGACAAACTCCTCATAAGCTTTATGAATATGCAGACTAGGGCATATGAGAAAGATGGATTCCTTATTTGGCCAAACAGTATGTGAAGGTAGGAGGGCTAGAATAACACTGGACCTTCTAACATTTAGACAGGAGACACTATAGATTTTAAATCTGGGGCTGTTGTATTGTGAGAAGAAACAATCAATGGGATATATGAGTTAGGGGATTCAAGGTTGAGGGAACCAGAACTCTCTGTGAAGCCTCCCACTAGACAAGAGTCAGATTCCCCTTTGTGTCTGAAGTGAAGTAGAATTTCAAGCCCCACCCACCCCCAGGCATACTCACCCCTAATGCAGAGGCCACACCTAACTGGGTCAGGTTCAGATGGGAGCCTTATTATATCTTTGAGAAGAAGAGGAAGAGGAGGAAGAGGATCCAGGGAAAATTAACAAAGCTGCTTCCTTCTGGGCAAGAGAAGTTGACTCCACAGTGTTTCCAAATGCAAACCCCTGAGGGGCTTTGTCTAGCCCAGCACCTGACATAACATAGGTGTGGAATGAAGGAATGAATGGGATATCATCATCATTCCTTTATTTATTTGTCTTCCTCTAGTATTCTGATGGATTCTAGAGAGGAAGAAGAGGTGAGGCAACACAGTTTCCCAGAGGGAAGGAAGTGGTTACCCCTTCCACTTTTCCTGCCTTCCTGAGCCCATCAGGAGTGACAACAATGGGATATGGGGCTGAGGCCATCACCCCAGAGAGAACACTTAGACACCTTATATGGAAGCTTCTTATTCCCATTTTCTTATGCTTTTAGGGATGTGGGATACCTTAGCTCTAATCTTGATCACTGCTAGCACATAAGGTGTCCCCTCTAGGTGGCTATAATATAAATACGTCTCAGACTATATCTATAAGCCAGAACACATGACTTGATGACTGTATTTTAGCTCTCACTTGCCCCTTTAACTGGGAGCCCTTGAACTATGCTCTATAGGAGATAGAGTTGCCTGAGTGGCACTGACTGGTCTAGGATAAGAAGTCTGACAGTGCAGTGAGGTGGTGAGGGGATAACTGCCTGGCCTCTCTGGGGCTTGATAATTGCCTAACACAGCATCCATTCTCTGAAGGCATGTGGGGAACCTGAAAGTCTGTAATAAAGAACTTCATTTCTAGAAACCCCTGTCACTAGAGTACTTTCCTGGAGATTATTCACAATAAACCTGGATGCTAGAACCTGGGTTATGACCTCACACAGAGGCCCATTTACTTCTCAGCTGACATGCATATGCTGGTTCCCAGTACACTTTGCTTTTTGAAGAACTGGGATAGGAATAACACATTTGCTACTTAGAAGCTGAGCTTCTGGTTAGTCAGCCTTCAATGAAACCAACAGGCTGAATTGCAGGTGTCATACATGCTTCCATAGCAGCAGTGTTATGTAATACACATAGAATAATGACAGCTATGGGACTTGGTGAAGGCATCTTTGAGCCAATAAGGAAACAATAAAAATGCATTTTTCACAATACCTTATAACTTAATATATATTTTCACATTCCTAATCACATTTGAGTGGGCAGCACTCAGACCTAGGTCTGAAAAAGAAAGCCAGGAGGCAGAAACACACATGCACGCGCACACACACACACACACACACACACACACACACACAAACATTCAATACACTGATGAATTTACTCACACGTATATACATACTGACATGCACTCACATGCACATGCTCAGACATTCACATATGTGCATGAACATAGCTAACCATGCACACACAAACATGCTCATGTCCACACAAATTCACACATGAAATAATGCATTCACTCACATATACATACTCCCACATTAACACACATACAAACAAACATACTCATATATTCATTCATACATGAGCACACTCATTCACACACACAAATATGTCCACATATTTACCAACTCACACAAACATCCTCACACATAAACATGCTCACTCATTAATACATATAGACATCAGCATGCACAAATGCACATATTAACATGCTCACAATTCACTGATGCCTGCACAGTGATATACTAACACATATGAATTTGCTCATGAACTCACTTGCATCTCAGCATGACCACAGGTTTACTCACACACAACCACACTTATGCAGACTCACACTTAATTACACTAACAGACATGTTCACACATTCACTCAAGTACATAAATATGCTTACATATACTCACACTTATATACTCACATATACACTGAGTGGCCAGATTATTATGATCTCTGAACACATAATAATCTGGCCACTCAGTGTATATCCTATATAATAAAAGGCTAATATGAAAATTGTCCTCTCGACCAGCCCATGTCCCCTCCTTCTGGCCAGGCTGGTTGGACCCTACCCATGCACAAATTCATGCACCGAGCCTCTAATATATATATATCACACTCTCTGAGTGGCTAGATTATTTTCAGAGATCATAATAACCTGGCCACTCAGTGTATATGGTGAACATGAGTATATAATAATGATAACTTATTGCAGTTATTTGTTGCATCTGAACAAGGTCACACACACAAACTTTCAGATATTCACTCATACAGACACATACAATCACACACTTACATCCCCAAATATTCACATACATAGAGTCACTCATGCAAAAATGCTCATAAAAGTACACATTTATACATTCCCTCCTATAAGCACTTAACATACTAACACAGACTCACACATGAGCATACTCATACATATGAACAGATACATTGACTCAACACACAAATATACCCACATACACTCATGTAAAGACAACTTTACACACATAAACATGACCATGTATTCATTCACACACGGACATGCTGACAAATATACTAATATGTGAACAGTCTCACACAGACAACCCATATTTTCTCCCACAGTACACTCAGTTAAATACAAATGGTCATACATTCATTCACTCATAAATGTGCTCTTACATTTATTGACTTGCATAGCTTCATTCACACATCCACATGTCATATATTTACTAACATGAATACACTCATACTTATGGAAATATTCATACATGTAAACATGTTCATATTTACTCACATATGTACATGGTCACACAGTCACTCATACACAAAGATTCTCACATAAATGAAAATACAAATTCATGTACAGACAAACTCACAAATGCAAAGATGTTCATGTATTCACTTGCACATTCACTTTCACACATCAACATGCCTACATGATTGCATGTGCTTACATATTTACTCACATACAATATATGCAATCACAAATATATTCATTCACACACAGATTCACTCATATACATGGATATACTCACATAAACACATTCACAAACACACACACAGATTAAGTTCTCAAGTACACCCATGCTCACACATTTCTTTGCATGTTAACAAGCTCACATAACACTCACACATAGTCACACATTCACTCATTCACACACAAATATCCATTTGCACATGAACCCACTCATAGATTCACTCCCATACAACATGCCTACATATATGTATATGTGCTCACAGCACACACTGAAGCACACAATCATGCTCATGCATTCTCTCACACACAGGCATGCTCACATACACTTATGTACACACTAACACATTCACCTACACATGAACACACTCACATATTTGCTCATCCCTGTGATTATGCTCACATAAACTCATGTGCACAGCTCACACGTTCATTCACACAAAGACACGCATTCCCTCACACATGGACACACCCACATGCACTCATACAAATATCATACACATCAAAAATCTTAGCTCTTAGTTTTGGGCTTATTGCTCCTTAGTTTTTATCAAGAAAACATTTAAAAGAAGAGTGCTTCGCCAACTTATTTTCTCTTTATTTTTCCCGAATTTCTTCCTTTTTAGTAACAGGGGCCAGGCCCTGCTTTAAGTTCTTGTCATGCATTAACTATGAGACCAGTGTTTAAATGATCTTCATTTTACCCATGAGGAAACTAAGGCTCAGAGAGGTTAGGTAACTTATTCAAGGTCCCACAGCTAGTAAGTGTCAAAACGGGGTTCAAAACCAGGCAGTCTGGCTCCTGAGTTCAGACTCTTACCCTTTATCTTACCCTACATGTAATATTGTCTTCCTTTATTGCAGGTGACCCTTTGCCTGTGGGAATATCTATGTATGTCTCCAATATTGACCACATCTCAGAAGTAACTATGGTAAGTATGTCAGCTTCACCCATTTGACTGGGGACAAAGTACATGGAACAATGGGCAAGATCATAAGCCAACTCCAGTTGTTCTGACCAGCAACATAGCTCATATGGAGAAACAGTAGTTTTTAGAAACTACAACCACTTGGAATAAAAGAAAAAAGAAAAAAAGAAATCCAGATGGATTCTAGACTTAAAAGGCTTATGAAGTTTCTAAAAGATAATATAGGATACTGTGTTTACACCTTTATGGTAGATAAGGACTTAAAAAAAACAATAAACACAAACCATAAAAATAAAAACTGTTAACTTCAATTATATAAAATTGTGTTAGCCAAAACTTTTGGAATTTCTGTTTTGCAAAAAACAAACAAAACAAAAACAAAAACCAGGAGCAAGTAGTGATAATCCCTTCCTTTGGTGTCCACACAATCCAGAAACCTCTCTTTAATTTTACACACAAAGGAGCAGTGGTTTGATTTTATGTCATACAAAAGGGAAGATGGGTGGAGACCCCTGTATACTATATTTCTTATGCCTGCATACATACACACGCTCTCTGAGAATGAAAAGTTGGACACCCTCGCTCACAATTGAGATTTACCTTTCTTTCCCCAGGATTCTAAGGTCACGATGTTTTTTCTTCAAACCTGGAAAGATCCACGTCTAGCATACTGTGAGACCAACTTAAACCTGACTCTAGACTATCGTATGGCTGACAAGTTGTGGGTTCCCGACTGCTACTTTCTAAATAGCAAGGATACCCCTGTGCATGACATGAGTGTGGAAAATCGTATGTTTCAGCTTCACCCAGATGGAACGGTGCATTATGGCATGCGGTGAGTTCTCCAGGGGTCAGGGGACAGGCTTCATAATTCCCACTGAGTATCCCATGAATGTACTCTAAGGGACACACAGAGAATCCTGTTGCTCTTCAAACCTGTCTTGCACTGACCCCTCATTCACCCTATTTTCCACAGACATCCTTGACTATCCTGTCTTCACACCTTGACTTCCGCTGTTGCTTCTGTCTGGAGTGGCCCTTTCCATAAGTCCAAATCTTGGCCATTATTCAGTTGCTAACTCAAATGCCTTCTTTGTCAATAAATCCTCCTTGATTCTCACTGGAAGCTCTATCCCTCTGCCTTAGCATTATAGACATTCTGTTATTTATCTTTGTGTTTTTTCTTTCCCATGCAGTGAGGGAGGGAAATCATATAAATTTTGAAATCCATACAGTAAGGGAGGGGCCTGAGCTGTGCCATTGGTCATATTTATATTATATAGAGACGCAGAGGTATGCAGTATGGCTTTGTTGTCTGTGGCTTTGCATGCACAGAATGTGTGCATGCTAGAGCTCCTCACTGGTCCATATATAACATTGCAGACAGCCACCAAGGCTCTCCTCACAGTGTCATCTCTTACAAACCATCACTTAAGCATAAGAGAGAAATTTAGCTCAGAAAATTTCCCCAAGAGGTAGCTGCCAGGGTTCAGCTCTATTTCTGAGTCTCTCTTTCTCTAGGGTACTCCTGCTCTGTCTCTTTTTTCCCTTTTATTTACCCATCCACTGTCCCATGGAACTAGGTGCTGGAGTCAGAGAATAACAAATCTTGCATGGAACAAGACACTGATCACACTTGTTTCATTTAAAGGGGACTTCAGCTGATTAGTACTGCATGGAAGATTCATAAAAGGGACACACACACAAAATAAAAATAAAAATAAAAATAAAAACAAACCTACCCACTGTGTAAAATAGAAATAACTTCAAAAGTTGAAAGGAACTAGGCTGGGGTTAGCAGCTGGGAATGGTAGGAAAAGGGCTGGAGCAGAGCCCCCCAGCTGAGATAACACAGAGCTTTTAAAACTATCCTGTTTGCAGTGGTCACTTCTCTCATTTCCCCAGCTTCTTCAAGATTCCTCCTCAGATTCCTCTCACGGATCCAACACAGGGCTACTTGAAGCCTCTGCCCAACACTTCATGGCCCACTTCAGATATGTTAATTCCTCCTACCCATTTATATCCACTGACATTTTGCTAGTTCACAGTACCCTCAAAGTCAGATACACAAAGATGAGAGCACTGTGGGGTGGGAACAGCCTTCATGGCCAAAGATGAATCTGGGCCATGTATACCTGAGGACTTCATGTGAGCACTGCACAGCAGATGTGGAGCTTTAGCTGCTTCAGTGCAGCAGTTTCCTCTTGGGAGTCTTGAGCAAAAAAAGTCCCTTTTCTGTCTCTGCATTCAGTTTCCTCAAGCACCCTTCTTCTTCTGACATCCTGAGGTGTCCTGACATGCCACACATGTATTATTAGTTCAAGTCAGGCCATATCTCTTGGTTTCTTTGTCACATACAATGTCTCTCTCTCATCCTTACATAATTATACCTCATCTTACCTTGAAGGAAGGAAGGAAGGAAGGAAGGAAGGAAGGAAGGAAGGAAGGAAGGAAGGAAGGAAGGAAGGAAGGAAGAAGGAAGGAAGGAGAGAGGGAGGGAGGGCTCAGCTCTAGTGTAGGAAGTACAGGAAGGTGTTGGACAGATCAGTCCTTGGGATACCTCTCCTTCCCCACCCCTTCAATGTTCTCACTTTTCCTGGGCTAGACTCACTTTTCCTTTGCTTTTGCTTTTCCTTTGCAGACTCACTACCACAGCATCTTGTTCTATGGATCTTCAGAAATACCCTTTGGACAAGCAGACCTGCAAGCTGGAGGTGGAGAGCTGTAAGTTTATCTCCCATAGCCCCTTCTTCGCTGCCTGTGGTTGTGGCCATCAGGAAACTAAAGACAGACTCTATAGTGAGAGGAATGGCATATCTCCCCTACTCCCTGCCTCCCTGTCTCTGTTCTCATAGATTAGATTAGATAGATAGATAGATAGATAGATAGATAGATAGATAGATAGATAGATAGATAGATAAGATAGATAGATAGATAGATAGATAGATAGATAGATAGATAGATAGATAGATAGAGATAGAGAGAGAGATAGAGATATATAGACAGGCATCTGGGAGAAGGTGTACTTTAGGGTGTGAATAGTCCCATGGGAAAATTGTACCATGCTATTGGGAAATTATGCATCAGCTAGTGGGTAGAAACACATTGCTGTGCTTTCCTTCCTGACAAAATACAAACACAAAAACAAAAACCAACTCTCCAAACTGAGAGTTCCCTTTCCAAGTGTCCCCTCCCTAAAACTCAGACTCAGCAAAACACAAAGGAAACCCCCCCCACACCAAAAAAATGCAGGTTCCAACCATCCTTTGATTCCACAGACTATGCTGATATGAAATCTGCCTTTCCCTGCTTTCTGAGATTGAATAACTATGTTACTCTCTGTTTCCCAGATGGTTACACAGTTGAAGACATCATGTTATACTGGGAAGGTGATGAGAATGCCATCCAGGGGACTGAAAAGATAGAGAACCCTCAGTTCACCCTCCTGGGAAAGAAAGTAACTAGAAATGAGGAGGTTTTCTACACAGGTGGGTCTGGCTGCTTCCTTGTCTCCTATTTCTTGTCTCTTTGGTATCTCCTGGGGACCTCTGCCTTGAACCTCTACACTCTGCACAGCCTCCTTTACTATTTTTTTCTGATTCTGGAACCTTGCAAAAACACCCTTCATAAAGTCCCTGTGACTTACTCTTTGCAAATAAGAAAATGGTTGTGGAAGCACTTGGCCAAGTTTAACACTCACTCCACAGGTATTAAGGATTCATGCTTATGTTGATAAAAGCAGGCCTCCTCTCAGGGCCAGCCCCTCACCCTCCATCTGTTTGAAGCTTGAAATATGTCATGTCTCTCCAAGTTTTAAACTTTAGTTGAAATGGAGGAAGGGAGAAAGGAAGAAGGAATAAGCAAATTTGCTATGCCATATGGGCCTACAGAAACATGCCATTGTCACTGTCCTTAAGGCAGCAAATGTGGTCTGTTTGGCAGACAACCTAGGCTATAGGATTAGAAAATGAACTGCCCATTGATTTCCCTTCCTCCATCTTGTACTTCACCCTGAAAATCCTCTTAGCCCTGCCACCCTGATACCAGTATGTCTCTTTGCCAGGTTCCTATGTGCGACTTGTACTGAAATTCATGATCCAGAGGAAAATTATCCATTACCTTGTGCAGGTCTATTGGCCTACTATCATCGTCACTATTTCCTCTTGGGTGACATTTTGGATGAACTATGAATCTTCTGTAGCCAGGATGACAATCGGTAGGTCTTGTCCTCCCTCTCCCCCCAATCCCAGAGAGGAAAAAAGCTGAGAGTAGGGGAAGAGTACTAGGAACAGTATGTGACTACACAGGCAAGGAAACAAGATAAGTCCTACCCAACAAGCATTTGTACAGGTACTTAGCTAATCCCCAGCAGAGAGACCAACAGATGTGAAAAAAAATCAGGGCTGGGGTCTTCATGTGTTGGGCCCAAAGTACCAGAATTCATTATTTTCTGGATATATAGTAGATGAGTGGACAAGTCATAAATGTAGATCAGAAATGCAATACAACAAACATTGATTAAGCAACATATCAAAATGCCCTGCTAGGCAGCAGAGGACTATTAAATGAGCTGCCCTCAATGAGTATTTAGTGGAAGACCAAGACAGATGACACTGGAATCCAGAGGAGGAAATGACCAAGTTCTGTTGTTGTTATTGCTGGGGTTTTTTTTGCTTTTAGCTAAAACTTCACCAAGAAACTGTTGCATGAACTGGGTTTTCAAAACTTGTAGGAGAAAGAGACACACCATTCCCTAAAAGAGGAAATAAATTGATTAAAGGCCCAGGGGCCCTAAAGGGGGTGCTAAATCATAAAGTGAAGCAGCCAGAGCAGCAGCTGGGGAAGAGTAAAGGAAAGAAAGCTTGGTTTGACCTGGAAAGACCTTAAAATGTAGTTTAAGCAGTTGGAATTTCATGGCTAAGCAATGTGGAGCATCAAAGTTTTTTTTAGCAGTAACAAGGAGGGGCCTAAGAAATCAACTCCTAAGTATATCTGGCCTTACCTCAAAGAAAGCAGTGTGTCTTAGATCCAGGTCTGGTTTCTTCTTCACCATCTTTGAGGCAGACTCTTTAGCCTCCTTCCTTAGGATCACGTGCTATACTAGAACTTTATATTGCTGTAATATTTTAGGATTCACAAAACCTTTTAGGGATGTGATATCATTTAGTATTGAGGAACTAAAGAAAAGTATATGGACTAGAAAGCAAAGGATAAGGACCACTTTATAGGGTAAAATAGGGCTGGAAATGTAAATCACTGTGAAATCATAGCTAGAGAATTTTTACTTGATCCTAAGAGCAATAGGAAGTCACTGAAACATTGAAACACAGACTCGGTATAAAAATAGGGAGGGAAAAAAGAGCAAAAGTCCTAGGCTTATAGAGCTGAAGGCCTTTTTTTGCTGAGAACCCTCCCCACCCCAGAAATTGTATTTGCTCTCTTCGTATACTATGTGAGTCCAATGGCTTGCCAAGAACTTCAGCCACCTATGCCATGTTGTTTATAGGTCTGACTTCAATGTTCATCCTGCACACCATCAATTCACACCTGCGGGAAAAACTGCCTGAATTCTCTTGTATCAAGGCTATTGACATCTATATGGTTGTCTGCTTCATCTTTGTGTTCCTGTCCTTGCTGGAATATGTCTACATCAACTATCTTCTCTATAGTCGAAGAGAAAGTAGTCGCTGTTATAGGCTATGCAGAAGAGCCCGAAAAATCATGGACCAATATCGCTACCAGCTGGAACCAGAGCTGCAGGTTTGACATTTTGACTGATAATAAGCTTTTCTTGAGTGCCTCTTTAGTCTAAGCTTGGCACTTGACCCCTTCACATTTCATAGTAATTTCTTTCACACACACACACACACACACACACACACACACACACACACACACAGCAGATAACAAAGAAGTAGAAAAATTTATTATCACTTCTCTACAGGTTAAGTCATTGTCCAAAGTCACAAGGCTTGTAAGTGGCAGAGCTAGATTTCTCCAGACATTTGGTCTTCAAATCCAGTCCACTTAGCATGCTTCCAGGGCAAGCAATGGAGTCAGAGCAAAAGGGAGCATAGGGAGGTTGAAAGGGAAAAAAAACAGACAACAGAGAGGCTGGCCTACCCTTCCTTCCTTTGCTTTTCTGACTCCCAAAGCCATGCTAAGGCTTTTGCTGCTGGTGGTACATTAATGTCTAGCACCACCCTTTCCTTCATAGGGAGCCAAATCTTAACTGCCTGAAGAGGCCTTGCCTTTGTTCACTACACAACACTCCAGAGGGAGCAGCTGCCTCAGAGTTACACAGATTTGGCAGCCACCAGGGACTCCCTTTACATTCTAACAGCCTCTTGGTCCTGTTCCTCAGCCCGATGTGTGCGAGAGAAGCCTGGAAGAGGAGATTCTGACAGTCGAACAGATCACAAGTGCTCCTCCCTCCCCGCAAGTGCTTATTCATGTAGGATGTGAATCTGCTGATTTTATGTATCTACCCACTGTTTCCTCAAAAGATGACCAGTTTGACATCAAAGATGAAAGTGGCTCTCCTCTCCCTAGATCAGTGCAGGCCCACTCAGCAAGCCCAGAAAGTTTTATCTCTTTGACCCTCATCTCAGACCTGGTCCCTCTGGCCACCTCAGAAAGCCTCAGCTCACTGTCTTCGCTCTCACTCCAGTCTTGGCTGGCCACAGAAGAAAGCCTGAATGATCTCTCCTCCACCTCAGAGCAGACACTGCACAGCTGTGACTCTCACTTTAATGGTTTCGAGACTGATGGCAGTGTTATTCCTACAAAAATCTACAATCCTGGTGAGGCCCATTGCCATGCTGAGACCTGTTATCCAGAAGACCCTAAAGAGAGCTACAAATTGGATGACAACCATGGCTATGGCCCCAATAGAAAGCATCTGCTCATCCATAGCCAGAGGTGTGTGCCAGAAGCAATCTGTGAGCCTGATAACGTGCATAGATGCCGTGAGGAGTTCCTTCACTTGCCTGGTGACATCAACATTCAACAAGACTACCTTGACGTCCAGAACCAACTGCAGCATGATGATGATGCTACCTGGAGCCATGATGATGATGACGACAATTTCATGGGTTTTGATGAAGATGAGGACAGTAGTTCAGAATCTGATGATAGTTGCCCCCCAAGTCCTGGGTACTCCTGCAGGGAAAGGCTTTTTTCTGACATCTTTGACCCTGACTACATTCCTAATATTGATAAGTGGTGCCGTATCCTCTTCCCTCTTGCCTTTGTGGTGTTCAACATTATTTACTGGCCATACCATAGCTTTTAGTCCCATACTGCCTCAGAGTAACAGGGACACTGTGTTGTGCTCCTTTCACAGTTTCTTTTGGTTCCATTTTGCCTTCTTTCCTTTGTTCATTTAATTTTGGTTATTTGGACAGTCAAATCAGTTCTACCTTTCTCTTTATAAATATGAGGTGGTGAATAGTTGGTAATAACGTGTTCTGGCTGGAAAGAAAGGGATTGAGAAAAAGAGGTCAATCCTAAATGATTTTTCTTTTTTACTGGAAGACTGCCACCTTTTCAAATATTTCTAATATCTAATAAGTACAGAAAAGCCCCTGAAAATATTTAGAGGACAGAGAGGAGCCAGCTTGAGGGAAAGAGGAAGGAGATGAGCCATGTGCACAAACATTGCTAGGTACTTTTTTGTCCCCCTAAAGTGTTGAATTTTCTTTTTCATTACTTTTTTTCTTATACTTTTTTTTTCTCCTTGTGGTTATGATTCTTGCTCACCTGTTGCTTAGGGTTTTATGGGAGAAAGTCAAGCTTGATTGGGCTAGGATGCATAGGGGAAGAGCTAGCTATGGCTTGAAAATGTAGAAGACTGGCTCTAGGAAAACTGAGGACTTTTGAAAGTGCCTTTTTTGCACTATTTTTGTTTTATTTTGATTATGTTGCTGTAGCACAGGATTGGGAATGAAATGTGGGTGGGTAGTTAGGGGTGCTGAGTGAGATGTCAAAGTGAGAGAGCATGTTTCCAGCAGGAGCTTGTGAGGTGCTGAGTAATGTCAAGTTGGAGATTACTCAAATTGAACTGACATCTTTGGATGGGTTGGAACTTCTCTTATCTATATCTCTGCTCCAGAATGATTGACAATAGGAACTTAGTACATGTTTCTAGGTCAGATGCTGATTTGAACACTAATCACAGAACAAGTACTGGTAAATGAAGATTAGGGTTAGAAAAGTTCTGACCTGCTACTTCACCATCTGATCTAGAATAGCAGATGAACAACTGTTGTGAATCTCTATACTAATCCTTTATATTTGTCCAATGTAGTGTTAATGAACTCACTGGACCATCATATCGTCAGACCCTCACAGGAGCCCTGTGAGCCAGAGAAGGCAAAGCACATTGTCCCAATGTTCCGAGGGGGAAAATGGAGCTTGAGAACATGCAGCCAGTAAGTGGTAAAGCCACAAACACTCGCTCTCCCTTCTTGTCCTCTTAACTTTTTCAACTGAGGCACTCCATTCCCCCCCCCCCACCTCCACTTTACAAAAGGGGGTGCTCCATTAGGTTCTGCTAGGCACCAGACCTCATTCTATAGCACCTGGAGCATTTCTCCAGGAAGAGGCTGGTGACCAGTGTGAACACATGGAATTTGCCCACTCGCTGGGGCTTCTAAAGGAAGTAGAAATTAGTTTGTGCTCCAATGTGCCAAACAACTCCAACTCATTTGATTGAGGCCATGGAGGAACAAGATTTGCAAAGCACTCAGCATATAGTCCTCCTTCCTTCTTAGGCAGCCTCCCCTGCAATCCCTCAGCCACCTCCCCTTTTAACTGTGTTTCTGTGTTTGTTTCTGTGTATACCAGTGTGTGTGTGTGCATCAAGGTAGTTCTATGTGCACGTACAACTATTTGAAAAGTTGTATAGCTATATGTATATCAGTGTAAATCTCTATTGGTGTGTATAATAATATATATATATATATATATATATATATATATATATATATATATAACAATATGTGGATAAATATGTGTGTGTGTGTGTACCACTATGAAAGAGTGTGTAAAATTGTGATTTATGTATGTATGTGCTTGTGTGTACACACATGGTTATATTTTGTGTGTAGGTCTAAGTGCACGTGTGCATACTTATGCTTATTTATCTGACTTGAATGGGTGTGAAAGGAAATACACCTGAAAGCATATGTATTTCTTGTTGGTGGCTCTTCTAGAATCAACAGAATTCCCTTGGCCTGTTCCCACATGAAGCGGGGGGTGTCTATTTGGCCAGGCTGATTAACTGCTTCTTTCCAATTCCTGTTTCAGGGAGTAGCTCCTCACCTTCTCCCTCCACCCATTTGTGCTATCTCCTGGATAGAAGACACAGAAGTGAATGTAGTCCTAGAGTCTTGGGGAGTGATAATTTAGTGCCTTGAGGCAGGAATTGCTCAATCACTGGATAAGTAGGGAGTTCAGAGCATTTTGTTTTGTCCTGGAAGGACATGTTTGGAATACCTTGAAGATGTATTGAGAACAGAAATATGATATAAAGAACTAAAGAACTATAGAGAAGGTTGTATATATCCTTGATAACTCATCCCTTTATTTCAACCACCTTGTAAGCCTGACCTTGGAGTAAGCCCCAAGCAGTTTGGTGATATGAGGAAATGGCCCAGGGAATTGGCTAACAGCTGGATACAGAGAACCGAAGGTACCTGGGAGATGGCTGCAGGCATGGACTGTGGTGGTGGGTCCATTCAGAGGCAGGAGTTCTTTAGTAGCCACTCTGGGATGGATGGTTGTTGATAAACTTCAGCCTTGGATTTGGAACTTCTTCTTTCTATCCCCTCCAGGAAAAAAGATAGTTAGAGGGGTGAGAAAGCTAACCAAGAAGAGAAATACGAAATGTCCCAGGGACTGCCTGCCCAAATCAACCCATTTTGTCACCTCCCCTCTCGTTTTCTATAGATACAGCATATAAATATAGCCTTCTACACATACACACCCACAGAGATCTACACAGTCGTACACACATGATGCACATGTTGGTCACTCACCCTCAGCAATATATACATATACTAGTACACACAGAGACATACACAAATACACAGCCACAAACACAGTCACAATCACGTGTTTACACTTGTACACAGACACACACACACACACACACACACACACACACACACACATCTTGTAAGACAGATTTAAAACAAGAAAGTTGCCCCTGAAAAATCTAATATTGTTTCTTTATTTTTGGACACCCCTCACAGAGAGATCCAGGCTGGAGAGGGAGCAATGACCCCATATGTGAAGCTCCCAACATGGCTACAGAAAGACTTAAATATTGTTTGGGTGATTTGGATTTGGGTTTCCTGGAGGGCCTTTGAGCCCTATGGGAGGCAAGCAGTTCATTTAGGGTGAGGTCATACTAGTGAAAGAGACTAGATCAGTGGGGACAAAAAAAAAATGGGATTCAAAGTGTATCTGGCAGCAATGCACAGGAAAATGTCAAAGCACAGAAGAGTAGAGAGGCCAATTGTAAATATCTATAGATCCACATAGCTAGATATAATAGTATATCTTAAAAAGAATATATTGCCCTAATGTGCTGCAATGTGTTGAACTGTACTGCAACTCACACTGTGTGAGGCTAAGTGTCAAGGTGAGGTGGAGGTCTGGCAATGATACCTTTTCAGAAACTTGAACCTTGTGAGTTCGCCAAGGACTTGGTCATTTTAGCATGAAAATTGCCAGATCGCCCCTTGTCATGTTCAATGTGTGTTCTGTCTTCAGCATCATTATTGAGCCCCATCCTTAGCTGTCCCCAGTGGTACAGGCACACCTTCTCCAGCTGGCTGCCTATATCCCCTCCTACTCCATACCTCACACTAAGTAACTCTGGAAGTGCAGAGCATCTAGTAGGGCACTACTGGGGTTTGGCACATGGAGCCTTTCTCAGCCCCAACCAGAGAGTGCTTGTGGCAATAGATAATTTTGATCTTTGACAGAGGGAAAGGTGTTGCTAAGTCTGGGATGGAGCAACCCCCACTTAATCCTCTACCCACTTTCCCTTTCTTTTCCTCGCATGAGCTATCATATTAACTTTCCCCTTCAAATACCCTCTCCATCACTACCATGGGAAAGACAACCTCTGTCTCTTCAAAGTGTCATTTTATTATGTTTATGTGGGACATGTTTCCTACCAAATTCTCACCTGTTCCATCTGCCACTGTGGGGTGCTTTGCAGAACTAACAGAGGAGCTGTTGAGTCTTACTAGAGCTTGTCAAATGTATTCTTACAATCCATGTCATCTTGTTAATAGCAATGCTGAAAAGTCTTTGTATATTTAGAGTTGTGTTTTGCTAAGACTGTGGTCATTCCTTATTCTGTACATAAAAGAGCTAACTAACCCTCTGAGCTATTAACTAATGAATGCATTTGCTAAGTTATCCACCAATATGGTACCCTATTATGGTGCTGAGCATCAAAGGAAATTGTGACTTGTCCTAAAAAGTTCATTGTGTTCATGCTTGCTGTATCGTGTCCTGTGATCAATATGAAATCTTTATTATCAGTGTTGGGTTTTCAAGGGAGGGAGGGAGGGGTGTTACAGTGTCACTCTCAAATACTTCAATTATGAAAAAGCCCCAGTTTGTCTGCTGACTCAACATGTGTAAGACTTTGCACCCACCATCTTGTCAGATTGTGTCCCTGGGGACAGTAGTCATCAGCAGAACTGAAGGTGCCCATGTGTAGTTCAACTGACCACAATGCTAAGGAATTGTTCAGAAGCCAGCCAATGCAGTGTCATTCTGGAGGAAGATGAAATAAAGTAAAACTACACATATACACATGTACTTCTTCAGGAGAAGTGCTGGGTCCAGGCGATGAAAACCAAGAAAAAAGGAGGACTAAGGTTCATGTGCCCTGGATGGCCTGACCCACAAAAGGATGCAGAGCAGCAGAGACACCACAAGATGACATGGTGCCCTTTGTCCTTATTAAATGTAAATTCTTGCATGAAAAAGACTTGACTAGTTCTGAATTTACAAAAATGAAATCATAAAGAAACAAAATTATGCTTCTGAAAATTATGATGAAATAAAGGTTTGTAAATATCCAAAAGAATAAAATAATAAATAAATATATAATGGCAAATATGTTTATGGGTCATTGTGTTTCTTCTCTGTTGAGTTAGGAGGGAGCTTTATTTGAGCCCTGGAAACTCCTTTTTAAAAAATATATTTTATTGATTTTTTTACAGAGGAAGGGAGAGGGATAGAAAGTTAGAAACATTAATGAGAGAGTAACATTAATCAGCTGCCTCCTGCACACCCCCTACTGGGGATGTGCCCACAACCCAGGTACATGCCCTTGACCGGAATTGAACCCGGGACCCTTGAGTCCGCAGGCCAACGCTCTATCCACTGAGCCAAATCAGTTTTGGCAAGCCCTGGAAACTTCTTATTTCCATTGCTCAACTTCCCCTTCCCCTGGCTTTGCGCATTGCCCTCCTCATACCCTGGGACATTTGAAACCAGGGTTTTTGAGCAGAAGGGAAATGGTAATGTCACAATTACTAGTAAAATTAGTTTATACTTTTGCACAAACTATTCTAATCATTTTAAACAAAAGTATTTTAAAACACAGCAAGCCATTATGGTGCCAAAATACAATACAGGAATTTATTTCCATTGGGGGGGGGGGTCTTTATAATTTTTTTAATGTCCTTTGCTGATGTAGACCTGCAGAATAGAGAGCAAGAAAACCCTGTGAAGGTGAAAAGAGAACATCATATTCAAGTTTTTGAAAGTTTGCAGAGTCTCATTAAAATGCCATGTTGTATGGCCTAGTCAGTGGCCATGGACAACAGGGGGGTGGGGGCATATGTAGGGAGGGGTTTGGGATGGGAATGGGAGGATAAGGACAATTATGTGAGACCATAATCAATAAAATAAATAAATAATTAATTTAAAATAAACAAACAAATAAATAAATAAATAAAGTGAGGGGAAAAATAAAATAAAATAAAATAAAATAAAATAAAATAAAATAAAATAAAATAAAATAAAATGCCATGTTGGCCTGCCTGATGTGGCTCAGCAGTTGAGTGTCATGGAAGTGTCTTAATGAAGTCCCTCTATCATCAAAATGGGATTTGAACCTCCTGATTAGAAAGGCATCAGTCTGGCAGTCTCAGTCTCTAAAGATGGGTGCAGTGAGAGACAAAATGAACAGATCCTTGGCCCAGATAGCTTTCTCCCAAGCCATGGCTAAGTACAATGTCTTGCTCTTTGAAAAAAAAAAAAAAAAAAGGCCCACCCATG